AAGTCTCTTTCTCTGATTTTTTGATACTTATTGGCTTCGACATCTTACCTCAGCAGATAGTCTCCTTATCAATAGACCTCTATTGGTGAGTTCAACAGCAAAACATTGTGAAGTGTGTAAAACAAATGATTCGCCAAATTCCATTCTGAACTTCTAAAGGTTTGAAGCAATAATGAAAGGAAGGGCTGCTACACTCTAACTTCTTTAAACCAACTCGTTTTGAGCTTAAGAAGACAACAAGGCTTACTGAATTCCAAGAAGTGATATCCAAAAAGTTTAATTAAAATCAAAAATAAGATATAGCTAAGTTGTTGTAATCTGCTTATTCTAGATTGAATATCCATTGTTGAAGTATATCTATTACTCTATGATTGTTGCTTATTTTATATATAGCTTGTATAACTAACTTACAAACTAATACTACCAAACATAAATGCAATTGACAAACCTCTTGTATTTATACACTCATCACCTCGGCTAGTCTTTCCTATTTTATATTGCTCAAATGCCTTGTCATTATGAGGTTTTTATCTTTTGATCCTTATTGGCTTCTGCATCTTGTCTCAACATAAGTTATAAACACTCGTGACTATCCATGACTTAAAAAAGTTTTGCTAATCGCGAAGTTATTTCATTGGCAAAGCTTTGACCAGATTGCTCCCAACTATGTTTCACATTTATGTTTTTGGTCATATCCCAAAATTTTTCAGCCTCTGAAAGTTTCAGCGTGACGAAGATAAGCTAAGAGAAGGTTAGAGAAAAAATGAGATATAATAAATCTGATCAAGATACCAACTTTGGAACGCTTCAATATGCAAAAATGTTAGCAGCCCAAACACTTTTTTTTAATTTATACTTTTGGTACTTAGCTGTAATTTGTCATGAATAACATATAGCCGAAAAATAAAATAGGCATTATAAGCATTTTTTGAGAAGATACCGAAGATTTTACCTGCAAAATAAAAAAGCTTCCAAAAAAAAGGCTTTGATATAGAGCAAGGCATCTAAGTAAGTTAAAATTGGAAAGATTAGCATACAAGAGGTTTGTCCCCTGTGATTATGTTGAGAAGTATTAGTTTGTAAGTAAGTTATATATAAATAAACAACAAGCATAATATAAGATACATTACTACTAATGAATGTTACATCAAGAATAAACTGACTTCAACACTATTACCTAATAAAAGTGACAAATTTGGCCAATTGCCTCTTGGCTAATAAGTTGACTAAATACTGTGTATTTTGCAGTAATTGCTCAGGCTGAAAAACGGCTCAAAAATGAAGAAGAAGTTAACAGGCCGTTTCGAGACCTGCGGATGAAAAAGGGCTATCTAGGAGATAGTTGAAAATATAGTCAACAAGATGCTTTGGCGCTTTCAAATATATTGTTCTTGGTGATTTTACTGATGTCTATTTTTCGTGAAAAGGTAAATAACGATGTAGAACCATTATAATAATCCTTAGGATAGATTTCAAATCGAACACGACAATAGCCTCAAAAACATTCTATATCCACTCCTAACTAAGATATTATTTTGCGAATCAATCAGCTATATTTTTTAACGATAGAAATAATTCAGCAAATGAGGTATTATTTATTGTTAATCTACTAGAACTTTTGAACTTTCATTAGTTTTTTAAAGTTTTACAATCCTGGGCCTTAGCGTTTTGGAACTAAAGATGAACAGCTTGGGTTATTTCCCGCAGCAGTGGCAAACATTTCTGATAATACAGCTTCATTTTCCTGCGTTAAATTAAACACGATGCAAACAAACCAAAAGCTCGTTCCATGTAGTACATACCGAACTGGTGTGAACCTTCATTAGCGTTGGGAGTTCTTCTAACTACTGAAAAGAAACACAAATGACCCATTCGATGTAAGAATATCTTTGTGAAAAAAAGGATAGAGCTTTGCCTAACATACCAAAAGGATCGTGATCTAAAAGTAATTAATCATTTTTGATCTCTTAAACTCAATTATTATTGTAAACTACACAATATTTTACAGGACAACTTGAGTGGTCACAATTTCTAGAGTTATCCCAAGTTGCTCAATCAAGACCTCATTTAATGATTCAGTTCTAATTGCCCTCACATGTCATCATGTCACTTCGGACAGTTGATGATTCTAGCTGTCAGCCATTGATGAAGTTTCAATTTTGTAAAGGCACATATAATGATTGTTAATTAATTCATCTTCATATAAGTAATGTAATTTATAAACGCAAAACTAAATACAAGAAAGGTAAAATATACATATCATTTCAACTTTACATTACTGAAATTTTTTATGACTGGGAATTTTCTTGCAATCACATATCTTTCTCTCTCATTTTTATACCTATATTTTTTTAACCACTTTCCAACCAGCTTAGGCATCTTCTCACAGTAATCAGTTTTAAGTCTTCTTACTGTTTACGTCTGACTTCCGATTTTCCCTCTCACAGCTGGCACGAGCTCTTGTGTTGCAATTCTAAAGAATTAAAGCGGCTACAGTATGCCAAATCCTTCTCAGTGTCAGAATTCGCAAAGCATTTTGTTGTTTAGCTGTGTAAATTTTACTACAGAGCTGATTGCCCAAAGTGACACTTTCAAACTTTCAAAAGTAAATTACTTCCAGCCCGGTAACAAATAGCTTTTAAAGTTTGTATATAGTTTTTTATCAACAAACTGAAACCAGTACAGATAAAGTCAACTCAAAATGACTTTGCACCTGAATTGTTGCCCAGCTTGGATGCTAAACAAAACCATTATTACGGATCATGGCCTTTTAAATCATCTCAGAGTCAAAAACTCTTTTTTTTTAGGTGTCTGTATTTCGGTTAGCAAATTTATTAAAGTTAGAGCTACAAATAGATTCAATTAGGTTGCTTTGAAATAGCTCTATTTATATCGTTATGTGCAAGCTTTTACTCATTGTATTAATACATTCTAACTCTTGCGCTGCCAGTTTTGGCCCTGAACCTTGCTTTCATCCCTACAAGAAAATTTTCTCCCGTTGTTGTGGCAAGCTTTTAATAATAGCATTTGCTCAATATATGAGATATGTGATTATTGCTAAATTATTTTGACTAATTTATGAATACAATTTGCATGATAGGATACATGATTTTTGTAAGAAGCAACTCATTCAGTTGTAATTGAAAGCAGTCTGAACTTCGAACACTAGCCCAGAAAGTAAGAATGTTTTGCAGTGGAAGTGGGTTGATCTCACAAGGTTATTGAAAAAAAAAAATTCCATTGTTGAAATTAGCAGCGGATAAGAAGTTATATAGTAAACGAGATCATAAGCTTGAAGGAATTGGTAGCAAAAAATGGTTCTCTGCCAGCTAACTTTAATTTGGAAACAAATTTGTCTTGCCATAAAAAGAATGGAGAATGTAATTCGAATAAATGTGCTTTATGAATTTTGGATACTGTACGTAAATTTCACATTTCCGCTCTCAGAATAACTTTGAAGCTAGTGAAACTTCAGATCGTAACAATGTAGCCAACTTAATCTAAAAAACGTGGTTGAGTAAAGTAAAAAATTGTATTTTTTGCTTGTTTGGGTAAAGTATACGTTTACTGTGAGAATTTCACGGGATACCTTATTATCAGTTCAACTGTATAAACTATAATCCAAAAACTTCGTACAAATGATAAATCATATTTTTGTGTACTATGCGAATTGTTTCAGATACGCAACACATAGTATTCTGAGAAATAAAAACTCTGAAAATGACGGTGGGGGACAGAAAAGTGCGTGGAACATTGCTACCCCATTGCCTAATCGTTGCAAAATTAGGCTCAAACAAAGTATTACAGGGAAAAAAACACTCTTAAAGGCAAGAGCTAAATAAGATTGGCGTGGCTTTGATTTTAATGCTTGACGGTAAATTATAATTTACAAAAGCTTCTGAATCTGGTGGATAGCAGGTTTATTAATAAAAGAAAGTAAAATGAGAAGGTCTGTTTTAGAAAATTTGTTTTGGGATGTTGATCTTTCCCTCGAGCCAAGGCTGTCCGTATGGTCTGAGTCTACTCCCCCATAAGGCCTGAATGCTAATTAAAAACTATGGGTTGATAGTTATGGTGAACGACAATGATACTATGACCTATCAATTACCCACCAGATAAACTAAAGTGTTGACGTATTGCAAATGACCCTGTATAAAGCCATTAGAAATAGGCAGTTGAGACTTTTAGGACTTGTCAGGTAACAGATCAAAAAGAAGAGATGAAATCTACAGAGTTTTATTTAGCCATTAGGTAGCAATGTGGTTTGAACCGTAAAGGACTGACCGACACAATCAATGCAAAAGTATAAGATGTTTATCAGTTGTATAAATGTTCCAAACTATAATGAATGTGTTGGGGACTATACTTGAAAGTTTATACGATATATCTTTCAAGTAAACAGGAAAAAAGCGGGGACTTTTTCAGCTAACTTTGTAGATTAAGTAGACAATCATTGAAAATTTACTACAAAACTTAAAAATATCCCATCAAGACAGTCATTGATCTACTAAAGTAAACTATAGTATATCAAAACTGAAATGCATTTTTGCCTTACCCAGTAGTACAGGGGCCAGTAAAGAGGCTGAATAGCCATTGTTACAGCTATCTGAAGCAACTAGATGCTAAATTACTCTCTCAGAATGATCATGATGGGTTATGATAAAATAAATTGATACTAATTAGGTTTGTCTTACCAAGTATCACTGAGTAAGGTGCTTTTGAAGCGCGTTTACAAATACTGCACATAAAATTATAACCGATAGGTTATGAAGACTGACTGGCATTTGCGAAGCAGCAGGAAAATCCCCGAATAATATGATCAAATTTAGCTCGTCCCACCAGATTCGGCTTTCCGAATGACGTCAAATCTGGTTCAGAGTTTCGCAATCTTTCTTAACAAAGTTCACCAAAGTTTGCCCAAAAGGATCAAGTCCAATTTCTATAATATCAGCAGTTCCTCTACCTTGTGAGTCGTCTTGTCTTGCCAATTTTTAGATTTATCAATTGAAGAAGCCCTTGACAGGAGTCAACAATAGAAGTTGGCTCGAAACGTATTCTGAATTTCGAATCAGTCTCTTAGAACCAGAGGTCGATTTGTAATTCACACTTCCATCAAAACTGGAAACTCTAATAGTAATGTCGCGACATTGGGAAACCTAACATTTGTTGATGCTCTACCTTTGTTCTTCCCTGCAATTCACTATTTTTTTTTTCACTTTTTTCTATGTAACTTTTATCACAAGTTATAAGCAAAAACAGTTTAGTTTTCCTAATTTTTGTCTAAAAACTTCTACTTATGCCTATTGTAGATAACATAATTTCTGGTGGCCAGAGATATCTATGTAGATCAACAATTAATATGAAGAAATTTATGTCAACAACATGATGCTAGACTGAAACGAATTCGTTCTACAGTAGCAAACTGGGTGAAAATTTCAGAATATTTGTCATTTATCTCAAAAGGTTATTGTTATTCTCTCACTAACTTCGAACATTATCCTAATCTTTATGTGGCCAAAACTTTTGTTGCTATCATTGATGATGGTCATTTCCCGTCAAAGGTATTAAAAAATGTTGATATATACATCTATCTATGTGATTTCCTAGAGATATCCTTGATACTACAGCTTCACTTGATATCTGCCAATTCATACTAGTGTAATAAGACTACTTATTCTAGAAAATCTTTGCTGTCATGAAGTGGGCTGGGTGGAAAATTCATAAAGTCAATGCCGCCGAAGCAAGAGTTAGTTTTGCTTTACTTTCAACAACTTACTATCTCCTTAACTATTGTTGAAGTCTGTTTATTCTAGATTGAATATTCATTGTTTGTAGCATATCTTAGTATTATGTTTGTTGCTTATTTGGATATAACTAATATAAATAACCTACAAACTAATACTCTCAAACATAAATACAAGGAACAAACCTCTTGTATTCATACACTTATACCTTCGGTTAAACTTTCCATTATTCATATCACGGCGGCTAACTTTCCAGTTTTGGATTACCAAGATGCCTTATCATGATAAGATTCTTATCCCTTATCTCTTGATCCTTATTGGTTTCAGCATCTTATCTCAACACTCCTAGTGTTGAAGTCTAGCTATTCTGTTATGAATATTCATTGTATATTGTTCACCTTTTCTTAAATTTGTTGCTTATTTAAAAAACAACTTATACAACTCTTAATAACTAATAATTCTAAACACAGATAGGAGGCAAAACCTCTCCTGTTTATACACTCATGACGTCGGCTAATCTTTCCAGTTTTAAATTACTTGATGCCTTGTCATTCTAAGCTCTTGTCGGATGCCTTGTCATTACAAGGCTCTTCTCCAATGCCTTGTCTTTTACAAGCCCCTTTCTTTTATTTATTGATACTTATTGACTTCGGCATCTTATCTCAACAACACCTAGACTCACCTCATCATTCCCATTGTTGTAATCTAGCTATTCTGTTATGAATATCCATTATATATTGTTCACTTTATATTATACTTGTTGCTGTTGTAATCTAGCTATTCTATTATGAATATCCATTGTATATGTACACGTTTTCTTATGTTTGTTACTTAGTTAAAAACAACTTATACAACTCTTAATAACTAATGATTCTAAACACAGATAGGAGACAAAACCTCTCCTATTTATACACTCATGACGTCGGCTAATCTTTCCAGTTTTAGATTACTTGATGCCTTGTCATTACAAGGCTCTTTTCTAATGCCTTGTTTTTAATAAGCCTCTTTCTCTAATTTATTGATATTGACTTCGGCATCTTATCTCAACAGTTGCCTATTTATATATAACTAATATAACTAACCTACAGACTATTACTCTCAGTCATAAATACAGAGATAAATCTCTTATATTTATACACTTATACCTTCGGTTAAACTTGCCATTATTCATTTATCATGGCGGCTAACTTTCCAGTTTTAGATTACTAAGATGCCTTATCATGATAAGACTCTTATCTCTTATCTCTCGATCCTTATTGGCTTCGTGTTGAAGTCTAGCTATTCTATTATGAATATCCATTGTATATGTACACTTTTTCTTATGTTTGTTACTTAGTTAAAAACAACTTATACAACTCTTAATAACTAATGATTCTAAACACAGATAGGAGACAAAACCTCTCCTATTTATACACTCATGACGTCGGCTAATCTTTCCAGTTTTAGATTACTTGATGCCTTGTCATTACAAGGCTCTTTTCTAATGCCTTGTCTTTAATAAGCCTCTTTCTCTAATTTNTTGATATTGACTTCGGCATCTTATCTCAACACCCCACCATAATCTAAACACTTGTAGATATGTTCGACATTCCAGCTAGACCAACAAACTTATTGAATTTAATCTTGGCTAAACTTTAGTCAACATATCAGCAACC